CTCCCTCTCACCTAAAATAAGTGACAGGCTCAATTCTGACTTCCTCGTTTTTGGCCCAGTAAAACGTGAATCATAAGCTTGCCAGTCCCTGGGTCCTTTACTGTTGTTCTGATGGGGAAGAAGAGAGATGAGATAATCTTACGTGGATGCTCAGACATTACCTTTGTGTGTTCTTCATCTCAGCCTCTTTAGAGGTTGACACTATTTTCTGATGCTTGAGATCTCGCTTTAAAATGTACTCAGCGAGTAACTTGAATGCACGTAGCTTTTGTACAAGCTGATGTTTCGTCATTTACAGTGGAAATAACGTGAAAAGTCTGAAGATGATTGTTCTTGGTATAATGACATATGTAGAAGGAGATGGGCAGCTAAGGTCCTAATATTTATGCTTGAAAAATCTAGCTCGGGATTTAGGTTTACTGGATAATGAACTTTTCTGTGCCCCGTAATTCAGGAATGGGCTTCCTATTTATAACCATCTATTCCTCATGTCCTTTCAGACGATCTGACGTGCTTGCTTTATCTCCAGTGCCCTGCTAATTTTAGTGCTCTTGGCTTCTGGCGAGGGAAGTGGGGAGGATCCTGCTGTCCCCACTGGGGCGATGCGTGGGCAAGCGGCTGATGGTGGGAGGGCTGCTTGCTCGCTCGCTTGAGAAGTAGGTCAGGACCGCCTACTTATTTGTATATTTTAATAAGCATCATGAGGCTGTAGATTAATTTAGATGTGTTAGAGTTTTGTCTGTGTGTAAAGAAGATTAATTCTTGTTTCACATGTTGCTGTACCTAAATGATTTTGAGATTTTATATATAAACATGTACATTTCCGTGAGGAATTATTAAACTGTGATAGCTGCAATTAAAGCAAAAGCCACTTAAGATCACCCTGATCTTTTTTTCACTATTGAATTAGATTTATACACATTTTTGCATATCTCTCTGTGGTGATTTCAACAAATGTTGTAAGTGTTGTGAAATAGACATTTAGTGGAGATTATGAAAACTTCAAACCTTTATGACTAGTGCTGTAGTTTGCAACAGAAGGAGTGGGTGGTTACTTCCTAGCTGAGTGTGTTTTATGCCAAGAGACAGTCTGTATTGACCTTGTACTGCCAAGTCATAAATGCGTAAAATCTGTTTTGCTAATGGAAACACTGACAAGCCTTGAACTGCAGTGGGCTGGCATAATAAAAATATTAAAATTTCTAGCTGCAGTTAATGTCAGATTTTCATTTCATTTTTGCTGGCTGGCAGCTGATGGTGGCCTCATCTTGGAACAAGCTGAAGTGTCCCGGAAGTTTCTTTGTTGCTGTTGTCACAGCACAGACTCTGATGCTTTGGATATACGAGGCTGACTTAACAAAAACAAACAAAAGAAAAATGCCTTACTTGTTGTGAAGCCAAGGAACAGGAGTCTTGGGCACATCCAGGTTTGTTGTTAGTGGTACCTGGGAGATGATACCCGTGGGCAGTGCCATTTTCCAACTAACAGGCCAGCTGTTTAGGCAGAGGTGTAAGAATTGTAGACTCTTCGTAATGTTTAATGTTAATTGCAGACTCTTATTAATGTTATTAATGGGGCATGTGTTAATGTTTGCATCAATTGGCATCAGGTTTCAGAGATCCAAACTGATAGGTGTCTGGTTTAGAAATTAGTTCCTTTGTGAAATCTTCACAATGTCCAAAAGGTCAGAGAGTCGTAACGATGATGCTCAGGATGAAATGGCTGGCAGCGGTGATGGGTGCGTATGTCAGAGGATCCTGACGCGTGCATTTGAAAATGAATCTTAGAGCAGTTTCCTGCTGTTCTAGGACTGATGCGAAACAGGTTTGTGATGTAGTGAACCACATGGAGGTGTGGAGACTGGGGATTCCTGAATTTGCTTTAACTAGGTTTGGTTTTAATGTGGTTTTTAATGCCCTGAGGAAGGAGAATTAGTGCTGGAGTTCCTCTTTAACAAGAAGAAGGAAAAAAAAAGAAGTTCTTACTTACAAGGATGTGCTAAAGGTCAGTAGGTTAAATACTGAGAAAGCAGTTGGCTTATGCATGCGCTGCTTACTAACCCCTTCTTCTGTGGTTCTTTGTCAAAACTAGATTTATCACTGGTTGCTATAGGAGTAGAGTCTTGTGAGGTTATTTTTCCTCCCCTTGTTGCAAAGCAGCCTCACTTGATGCTAAGGTCACAGCGTACTTTCTGATACACAAAGTAAAATGTCACCCTCCGCTGTCTGTTTCAAGTGTGGCTGGCATCGATTCTTCACCCATGTCTATTTATTGCAAATATTTGCTGATTATTGGCAGCCCTCTGCTCCTGGTTTTTTCACATGAGCATCTTGATCTTTTTCTTGCGTCCTCTTTCCTTTTATATATATTAGATTAGGAAGGTTTCTTTTAACTGTGTTTTGAAGTATTCAACTTTGGTATCTTGGCTGTATTAGGAAGGTGGTACCAATCTCTCCCAGTGCTGGATTGTTCTTTCTGGTTTCTGCTAATGAAATTGTTAAACAAATCTTCAGCCTCTGAATCTGTTAGCAAGACTTTCTTCATATAACTGTTGCTTACAGAATTATTTTACATCTTACCTTTCAATCTAATTTCACTCTGTTTTCTGTTATATTTGCCATTGCTAGCCTTTCAGTATCTCCTACCTGCCACCACTTCAATTACTGACTCAAGCCTGGTAAGAAAGTCGCTCAAGCATTGCTCCTTTCATTTTTGGGTCTCCGTCTTTCGTAGCGGTCGCTGCTTTTGACTCAAATCTTTTCCTGTTGGTTGTAACCTCTCAGTTACATTGCTGCCTTTGATACTGCTTCTGAACTTAAAAGCCTGTTGTCTTTTTACTTCAAATTATTAGTAAAGGTGATGCTTACCTTGCAGCATATTCTCGCATTTAGAAGTGGTGTGGGGAGGTGTTTAGTTGTTGTTTTTTTTTTTCTTTCTTTTTTGTAATAAATTGGGGGGGAAGGGAGGAGGTCCTGTTCTTGACCAGACTGCCTGTGTATGCCTTCCTCATTTACCTTTTGCATCTCTGAGTATCTCACAAAGTTATTGAAGCAGCTGCTTCTGAAGTCTTGTGTGAAGTGCAGACCCGGGGAAGGAGCCCGGAGCTCACTCCTCACCGGAAAGCATTACAACTGAGAAACCAGTTAACTGGGGAAGCATTAGTTCCTGGAGCAGCTGGAAGCCTTTGGAGGCTGTATAAAATACAAAGCAAAAGAGTATAATTTTAAAAATCTGGGGGCAGAACAACGCTAGGCAAGCTTTCAAGTTCCCAGAAAGTTGAGCTGAATGGCCTTGTCAGTAAGGCAGCTAGAAGGGTGTTTTGGAGGTGGCAATCTTTTCAGCTGTAGCCAAATTTAATTCCTTATGGATTATCAGACTTGTAAGTAACTGGACAAACACCCACAGGACTGAGAGTGGTGGAGTCTTTGAAATGTGAAATGTCAACTCAGATGGGAGGTAGACATGATGCTGTGCTGCTCTGGAGTTTTGGGTTTGTTTTTTTTTGGCTTGGAAGATGGGATCTCAGCAGAGCTAAGATCTCCAGGGCAGAAGTCCCTGCGGATGAAGGCGAGTAACAGCAGGAACTACTCTCCTGTTTTCTGAAAAGCCTCTTTATGTTGTGTAGGTGATTGGGAGAAAAATTGTGCTGTCTGTAGTCTTATTCCGCTTGCTCTGCTCTCTTGGGGAATAGGAAGGTGCTTTGGACTGTTTGACTTGAGGTTTGTAGTATGGTTGAAAGCATTGGTAGATTTCCAGACCTGCTGAGTTTTCCAGATGGACAGCTGCAGTAAGTAACCTGGGTTTTAATGTTCCAGAAGGCACCAGATAGGTCCTGGTGAATATGTTTCTCATATTTTTGGCATTTTGTCAATGCATGGATTTTGTTGTCTTAAAGCTCATGTTTAAGAGTTCACACGACATTAGTAAGTGTGTATGTATACGCATTGCCAATATTGCAGCTACAGCTGCAGTAACTGGTGGAGCTGTTAACCAGTGGCGACTGATAGTGGATGCAAGAATTGTTCTGAAGTGGATCACAAAAAGCTGCGAAGTTCTTATGGGTGTTTGCTTTCCTCGAGACGTTGTAATGCTACAAGAATTGTTCTGAAGTGGATCACAAAAAGCGGCGAAGTTCTTACGGGTGTTTGCTTTCCTCGAGATGTTGTAATGCTGTGGTGGTGGGAAAGCTGATGGGCTTTGAGGGTCTTGCTAAGCACACAGGTGATTAGGGGGCTGGAGCATCTCTCCTACGAGGAAAGGCTGAGAGACCTGGGGCTCTTTAGCCTGGAGAAGAGAAGACTGAGAGGGGACCTTATCAATACTTATAAATATCTGAAGGGTGGGTGTCAAGAAGATGGGGCCAGGCTCTTTTCAGTGGTGCCAGTGACAGGACAAGGGGCAACGGGCACAAACTGGAGCACAGGAAGTTCCGCTTGAACATGGGGAGGAACTTCTTCACCCTGAGGGTGACAGAGCACTGGAACAGGCTGCCCAGGGAGGTTGTGGAGTCTCCTTCGCTGGAGACATTCAAAACCCATCTGGACGTGTTCCTGTGTGACCTGCTCGAGGCTAACCTGCTGGGCAGGGGAGTTGGACTAGATGATCTCCAGAGGTCCTTTCCAACCCCTACCGTTCTGTGATTCTGTGAGATTCAGTGGATGTAACACACTTGGATTTTCAGAAAGTCTTTGATAACATTCTGCATCAAGTTATTGAAGGAATGAAGTTGCTGTGAGACTGAAGGAAAAATTCTTTTATGGGTTGGAAGATACCTAAAGAATAAGAAGCAAAGGACTTACCAGTGACTTGTCAGGATAGAGAAGAGTTGGCCATGGGATCCCCCAGGAGCTGGTTGTGGTACCAGCTCTGTTCAGAATCTCTGGTCATCTGGAGAGGGGATTTAACGGCAGGCACTCCCATTTTGTGAGTGCTATTAAACTGTTACGTAGTTCAATGCCATGCTGATGGTAAGGAGCTGAGCAGGCAGAAAGGGTGGCAGATGAGCTTCGAGGTAAGTAAATGCCAAGTAATGTGTATAAGGAAAGTAATCCTTATCGTGCCTACCCGGAACTGCCAGTTGCAAGTTAAACATCAGCTCATGACTATGTGGTATTGTTGCTTTCAGTTCTCTGAAATCCTCAGCTCTGGGTGCAGTGACAGCCCAAAACACCAGCAGGATGCCAGGTGTCACCAGATCTATTGAGAGCAGGATTGGGACAGGTGGCTAGATAGATGGTTAAGGGGATGGAGCAGCTGTCTGATGAGATGGGGGCTGACAAGGCTGGGACCCTTCAGTTGAGAGGATAAAGCCAAGGGCTGATATCATTGAGGTTTACACAGCCGTGGAGGTAATGGTAAACTAAATGCAGTGGTGGGGAGCACGCACTGGGACTAGTAAGGTGTCACCTTAAGGCAGATGAGAGAGAGGAGCCTCTTTACATAGCAGAGAGCAAATCTGGTGTCTCTCCCCAAGGAAGTTGTGGAGGGAGACGGGACCATGGGTGCAGAAAGGGATTAGGCAGCTTCATCTGCAGAAATGAAAGAGAGAAGGGAGGCGGTGTATCTCCTGAAGGAAACCTTTATGTGTGCTCTGGGGAGGCGGGAGGATCTGGGCTGCAGGCTAGTTCTCTAAAGAGCGTCTAGGACTGTGGCTGCTGGGAGCTGTGTTGTGCACTAGATAGGCCATCGATCTGACTTAATGGGCTTCTTGTGCAAAGCGGCAATTTCCTTCTCTCAGAGTATCTGTTCTCTGGTGGAGTCTCATTTAATGAGCTGGCACAGTAGGATAACAGCTGAGTACATGGCCTTTTCTGTGAAGAACTGATGCTTTCTTGTTTATAGGCTTTTTAGTCTGGATTGGTACATTCAATTCCGGTGCTAACACCTTAATTTAGAAAGATAGGAGGGTGGGAGACAATTATCCAAAAAATTATGAAGGTGGGAGACAATTATCCAAAAAATGATGTCTCTTACTTTCCTCCTACACCTTTCCAGTCTCACTTCCTCCTGCTTCATTTCTTGTATTTCACTTTCTTTTCCACTCTTGTCTTTCAGCAGTTTGATTGCATCTTGTCTGTAAACAACCTTTGAGCTTTCTGAGGTAGAGATGATCAGTTTTATATACTGAAATATTTTATTTAGTGCCCTACCCTGTGGGTCTGTCATTGAAGTAATATTTATATTTTAAAAAATGTTTCCAAATATGAGCTGTGATTTAAAAGTTGTAATATGGGACTTCTGGGCTCTGAGCTCCTTTGGTAGAATTGGAGTAGATGGCTAAAATACTGCCCCTGTTTCTGAATTTTCTCAGCACATCAGCTTACCTGTTTACTAACATGATTGTATGGAAGGGTCAGGTTTATTAAGGCCTTTAGTATGTTTAGGTGCAGGATGCCATGATTTTTGAGTATAATACATCATTACACACCCAATGGTAAGTATCTGAAATCTGTTAGTCTATGGAGCTCCTGTCTAAAAGCACTGACCTCTTGGGTAATTTAAATGGCCTCTCAGTCTTTCAAATCTCTTGTTTCAGGAAGTTAAGAAGGATGTAGAACCCAAGGATGATGCCGTACCAGTCAGGAGGGAGAAATCTGGCAATGTAGCCAGTCTTGTGCAGCGTATGAGCAGCTATGGCCTTCCAGCAGGAGGATTTCAGCCTCATCCCCCGTCCAAAGGCTTCAAGAAAAGTATGTAGTCTTTCCAATTCCTTCAATTGTGTAAGCTGCTGACATGTATTTTTTAAATAAACATTAATTATTTAACGTCTGACTTAGTGTTAAGGTTGTGTGGAAAACTAGAGACGTAGGAGGAAAAACTTCTAAGCCAAATTCTGCTCCTGGATGCATGGGCAGAAAGCTTATATGTAGTTCTTAACAGCAGCAATAAGGATGAATTTTCCTGGGAGCAAGATTTAGACCCCTTCCAGATTCCAGAGACTTGCTCTGTAACTTCCACCTGAGCTCTGCTTGTATTGTCAGGTACCTGAATGAGACCTGCAGGCCTGTTCACAGTAAACAAAAATCTTCCCATGGTCATTTCTTTTAAACATAGAAGCTTTCCTACAAATTCAGGGCTTTCTGGCAAGGAAACACTGCATAGTTTAGGTTCCTCTTGTTTGGTAGGCTTGCTTCTAGTGTGAAATTAGGTGGACTTGGTGGTGTCTGAGAAAAAGTAGTGGTCTTCCTTTGATTGTAATTTCAGCCCCCAGGATGGTCAGGAGTGCAGATTTGGTGCATCTGTGCCCGTGGTTTCTCTGTTTTAATGCCAATATTTAAATTAAGGTGAGTAAAACCTAGAGCAGAAAACTTAGTGTTTCCTGCTTCCAGAAAATTGATTTGTGATTTATATTTGGACTCCTTAGTCATATAAGATACATTGCTTTAAATTGCTGTGGCTTCCTCTCTCTTATAAGGGATTGCAGGCATTTATGATTTAAGCTTGCTTTTTTTTTGAAAGAAGGAATTCAGAACTTACTGTTTCTGGTATGTTTATGCTTTGAGTTTTTGCCCATAAAAGGAGAAGAGCCACTAGTTGTTTAGAGCCCTGAAATGGGACCACCAGCTTTACAAATTGTTAAAACTTTCTTCTAGGCAACTAAGGATGTCACCTTTAAAATCACTTTTTAATGAATCTGATCTGTGCACTCCTATGTGCCTGTTAGATGTTTGCATTAGCAGGGAGGCTTTTGAAGATCTAGCCTGAAAGATTAATTCTGTTCCTAGATTAATGCAACCAGGCTCTGAATGGGGATCAACATGATCCTTACTGGTCCTTCCAACTCAAGATACTCTAGGATTCTGTGATTCTGTGAACATGCTCTGGTAACAGTTCAGGTGTTGGCTACTCATTCTGGTCTCCATAACCCTGGAATGATGCCATATTCGGCATGTCTTGTCCTCACGCTGGTGGCTGGGGCCAGGGTAGTAGGTACAACTTGGTCTCAAACTCTGCAGTGCTCTGGTTAGTCTCATCCTCCTAGAAGAAACTGGTGTTCCAGCATCTTCCTTTCAGCACACAACTGTTTACTCAGCACAACGACAATCTCTGCGCTTCCATTTTACTTGCTGTTCCCTCTTTCCTTGAGGACTGTTTAAATAGCTGCTGCAGATCCTGTTTGCATGGTGCTTGGGCAATCGCTCACTCCCTTCAAAAGGTTTCCAGTACTTAGTTGTGTTTCCCTTTCTGGTTCCTAACCTGGTAACATAAGGTTTATAATGGTAAAAATAAAGTTAAGCTTCTTTAGTAACAAGTTTCCAGTGCGCAGTGAGGTAGCTTGTCTCTGCCTGCGAAGTCTTTTGTAGTGTTCTCACGTGCAGCTCTTGGTGAATTCAGGTATTTTATATCAGGTGGGTAGTAAGCTGCAGGCAGCATTCCGATCAGTCAGATGGCTGCCTTTATTCAGGAAAAGGAAAACACAGAAGGTGTGCTAAGTTCCGGCAACAAAGGGCTAAATTTGGTTTACCCTGTACAAAACAAATAAAACCTGAAGCCAGACAATGTGTTTTGGAAACGGACAGAATTCCCCCGGGGGCTGCCAGCCCAGCAGTCCTGCGGCACAATGTGAAGCTGGAGGATTGTTTTCTGAGCGGATTGGTGAACTTCCTAGGTTAATCCAGGGAGCTTCAAAACTGGAAGGCAGCACTTCCTAAACAGGATATCACTGAAAACAGACCTCAGGTGAGAGAGAGTTCTGGATGTGAAATGTATCGGGGGGTTTGTTTTCTCCCCCTTTTCCCCGTTTAGATAGAATTACAATATGAAAAGGAATGCTAAGATCAGATTTATACCAAATGACCGTGACTTTTTAATTTGCCTTTTTTTGGTATCAGTTAATCTTGTACAAAGGAGGAGCCCTGAAAGCGCTGTAGGAGGTAGTAAAGGCCAGTGAACCGTTTATTGCAATTACTGTTAACTTAACAATCCCTCTTGGCTGATGTATGAGTTTCAGTGGAGTTAAAAGAAGGGTGTATTATGTGTTAGAAATAAACCTAGAGCTTCGTACTTCTGGTTTATTTATTTCCTTCTTCTTTTAAGCTCTTTAGAGCACAGACCGTATACCAGCATGTAGAAAATTCTTGATTTGGTGAGCCCTCTCTCAGAAACTTTAGATGCTGAATATTACTCGGATGTCTGGCGTGTTTTGTACTGAGGACACTGGGTGTGGCAGTCTTCTAAATGTCTGACTTTGGACTTTCAATGCTGCTGTAATAAGACAAGGATCCATTTTGGAGGCAGAATCTAGGTTTTGAAATGTTTTTACTAGCTAATCTTAATTGCTGAAGCTTAAGTATGGAAAGAGCACAAAGTATAAGAAAGAGTATGGAAATTATACAGCTCCTACAAGCTTAAGCTTTACCACTTCAAGCTTTTGATTCATATTTTCACATAAACTGTAGCAGATTGTTTTTGAGGAGGATAAGGGAGTGTATGTGGGTCCTAGCTCAGGATGACAGTTGCCTTCAAAAGCATGCTGGCTGCTCTGTTGTGGAAAAAATCTGAAGAAATGGCCTGTTGTTTGAAGGAGAAATGCCTAAACTCTCTTTGTTCAGCAGTAGCTCCGGGATATGTGCAGAGTAATCGAGCAATTGCAGGTTCACTCCGCTCTGTCTGGAGGGGTTGTTGGAACCTGCTTCAGTGCTCCCCCTCTCGAGACGTCACTTTGTCTTTTTAATGCCTGCAAGCTTTAATGGTATATGGCAAACAGCTAAAGATTGCACTTCATTATAATTTTGCCTTTGTCAAACACTGCTAATGGAAGCTTAGGTTTAAATTCTTGGGTCCATACTGGCACTGAGAAAAAGGAGATTGGATTTTGAAATACGAGCTGAGCAAATGTTGGCATTACCTCAGAGCTGTAGTTAGCAAGGTCTTTGTTAGAGGGAAGAAGGGCTGTCGGCAGTTCAGTGTTGTGCAGAACAAAACATGTTACTTCTTTCAGGATTGCTTAAAGGCTGGTGGCTCAAACTTGCACATTTTCTTCCAAGCAGGTGCTAGCACTGCAACAGGGAGCGGTTGTCATTCCTGCAGATTTTGGTCAGGAAGCAGCTTGAAGAATCGTTGTAGTGGGGATTTATCTGACTTGCTTGCGTCAACATGTTTTTTATAGCATGTTGGTAATGGCAGCGTAGTCTTTATTTGTTTGCAATCGGCAGTCTGTGAAGCTCAGTGGTTTGCAGTCTGTCTAGATATGGCTTGCCTAGCCTAAAGTGACACAAGCAAACTGGAAAACCAGCAGGAAAAGCTGTGTAGCTTTTTTGGATGGTTTATGGGTCTTCTGGTCAGATTCGGTCCTCAGGAGCTGAGTGTGGGAAAAACTAGTTTTCCTTTGCAAGCGTTCCTACTTTTGCCGTTTCCCTTGAATCAGGGTCTAAGAAGCGGCAGTGCAAAGTGCTCTTCGAATACGTCCCGCAGAACGACGATGAGCTGGAACTCAAGCTGGGGGATGTGATTGACATCAACGAAGAGGTAAGCTGTTTTACAGAGCTGATTGTCTCTTTATGTGGCCAAAAGTCAGATTGGTTTTTTGGCCGATTACTTGAATTACAAGGATGTTGGAAAAATGGCATGGGTAGTAGTGTTTTTGAAGCTGAAGCTAGAGTTAATACTTTAGGAGTTCTTTCTCTCAGGATCTAGTCCTAAATCAGTGAATGTTAGATGTTTAGGGGGACTGTTTGATCATAGCAGCAACAGGTTGCGACCTGTTACACAGATGCCTTTTTCAGAAGACTTTCGCAGTTCTTAGGCCCTGTTTGTGTGATCCTTGTTTTTAGGATGCTTATGCTAAAACTGTTTGACCAGTTGCCTCTAGGTTGACATACTCTAACTTGGTTTAGGTGAAAAATGTTATTTGACCTGATTTTCCAGTTTCATGCTTTCTTGCAGACTTGAAGCTTTGAACTAATAGTAACAGTATTCAGCACAGAAGCTTGTACCTGTAGTACAATATACTTTGACCCACTTGCACAAAAATATGGATCATACAAATACAGTCAACAACACGTTGTTATTTCTGTTGCCTTCCTTTTCCACTAGGCAAGAAATACAGATAAAGAGGTCTTGAGGTTCAGACTTTGGCGATGGCCCTTTGTATTTGAGTGGGGTTTTGGGATGGGGGTTTCTTATCTTTTCCTACCTCTGTGCCTCCTTGGTATCTGACCAGAGCAATTGTGGAAGGAACCTTTTCAGAACGGGCTGGAAAACTTCTGCATGGCGCGCTCTGACCTTCACTGGCGCCATCTCTTCTTACTGCCTCCCTGAGGGTTGAAGGAAGGAGGCTGAACTTACCTTCCTACCCATGTGTCTGGTGGTGCTTGTTAAGTAGCCTTATGAGATCGTGTTTTTCACAGGCATGACCTCTTCTGAAGAACTCTCTAGGATCCCAACAGTTGCCAGAAAGGACTTTTCCATTCTCCTAGCAAGGAAAAAATTATGCTTTTAGATGCATTTGCACTGATGACTTCTAGAGTTTGTTCTTTCTGAAAACACAGGGCAAACAACATGTAAAACCTGATCACTAAAATCACAGTTTCGTAACTACTGTTGTGTGGGGGTGTTTTGTAAAGGAGTGCTCCTGGGTAACCTCACCAGTGTAAGTTGTGGGCAGTGCGGGTACACAGCAGTCTCGATGCTGAATGATTCAATGTAAGCGTTTACAAGAGGTAGCATGTGCAGTGGACTGTTGAGGAAGCGGCCATTTTGGGTCACACATGTCAACATCTGGAATTATTTTGGGAGGGGTACTCAGTGTGATGTATCGGAGATGACCAAGTAGCCAAACAGAATAAAAAGATCAAAGTATTTCATCATCTGGTTTCTTAAGGAAACATGGATTTTATTTTATTCTTTAATTTTTTTTTTTTTTTTGGTCAGTCCCCATGCTTCTTCCTTTCCTAATGATTTGAAAAATACGTATTTGTAGTACCCAGCCTTTGTTACTTCTGAGAAAAACTGTTAATCAAATTTTTAGGAAAATGCTACCAGGTAGAAAAATATTGCAGCTATTAGCACAGACCTGTTTGCACATTCTTTCTTATAATGATCTAGAATAGACCGGCCAGGTGTAGGCTAAGTCTGCTTCACAAAACCATACTGATGGGCTAGAAATGTGAAGAATGGTAGGAAATACTATTGGTTGTGCAATATGCTGGGATAACCTGTCGTAGGTAACTTGTCCTCACTGCTGTGAGACAATTTGCTTCCATTTATATATAAAAAGTGCTGGTTTTATATATATGCAAGTAACTCATGACTGTTACTTCAAGGAAAGATCATTTGGTCGCTTTTTTTAATGGGGAAAATAAGGTAAAATCGATTCCACAAGGGGATCAGTTCTTCCAGTTACCTGAGAATAATTCGGTATTTAGCCCTTGCAATTGTTGTCATAATTGAGTAGTTACAACTGACACTACTGATCGAGAAATCAAAGGTGGAGGCAGATGGGTTCACAAATTAAATGGCCAGTGTTGAAGAGAGCAGGCTACGAGGATCAGAAGTAGCTCTTAGGGAAGAAGGCCCTTGTGCTATGTGCTGGCTGAATCTGCAGGGTTTTTGTTTATGGAACAGGTGGGGGTTTGCATGCAAAATACACACACAGACTGTACTGTACATCATTGCTGTAAAACTTCTGTTTCTCCTTTATGTTGTCCCCCCACTCCTGTCAGATGCAGCACTAAATAGCAGATTTATTTTTGTAGTACTAGTATTTGTTGTATTTGCATGCTGTGTTATCAAGCATAATCGAAGTTGGTATGACTCCATTAGTGGAGCTTTTACTAAAACAAAAAAAAAATTCAGATTGGCAAAGCTGCTTGTTTCAGCCTCCCCCCCACCCCTTGTTTAGAAGTCTGAGTTTTCATCTTCTTATAGAAATAAGTTGGTGGAATTCACACTCAAAAAAAGTACTGATGTGCGTACCAGAGCTGTAACTCTGTTTTGGGGAAATTGTTATCACGTGGTAAGATTTTGAAATGGAAGAGTTGTGAAATTGTCATCTGTGTTGCTAGCCCCCAGAGATGCACAGATGCTGTCCACCAAAGTGTGTAGAACTTCTTTTTAACCTGTTTTTTTTTAATGTCAATTAAAGATGCCTTTTCTGGTAATACTGTTTGTATATAGTCAGGTTTTTTAAAGACAGCATGCTGAGGAGGCTGAAGCAAGTACGCTCAAGAAATTTTTGGTTTATTCATGACTGTCTCCAAACTGGCATCACTTCACCCTGTAAGTCTGTAAAGTGCTTTGCTGACCTTATTTCTTGGCAGAAGAATAAATGGATGCTCGAGTCGCTTTCTGTATCGTAAGCATTAAAAGTCCCTTTCCCATGGCTCTTGGGGTGTAGTATGGGCGAGTCAAGGCATTTGAATTTTCGTTTTGTGTAATGTATTATGTGAAGCACGAGGCACCAGAGCCTGGTCAGTGTTTATCACTAATCTATGCTTAAAATCTGTTTCGGAGGACCAGACTCTGAATTTGAACCACCCACAGCAAAGCTACATTTGAGCACCAGGATGCCTTTAAAAATAGCAGTGCTCTTTTCATTGCCTGTCTGGGTCTGTAGCTGACAGGTTTTGCATGCGTTCTGCTTGCCTGGAGGTAAGCTAGCATTTAAAAACTATGCCTGTGTGTCAGGCGTAGTGACCTACAAAACCAGGCTAAAAAAAAATATAATGTAAACAACTGCTGTTTGGGGTTTTTTTCCCTCCCCGTGTTGCTTTTCTTTCTTATCTAAAAACAGCTTTCCAGCCCCAAAACAAAGCAATTAAAATGAAATATTTTGAAAATTTATCTTAATTCCAGGTTTTAAGTAGTGCTCATTAGGCAAATACATTTGATTTATTTAAAACATTTTGAAAACTGTTCATAAATTTGAAAAGCACAATTCTTACTGAGCTTTCTGGCATTGTTTTACACCATCACCTATGCGTGCCCAGCTTTTGCTTGTTCTGCTTTGGACTGTGGGGTATTCCTGACAAACATTCCATTAAATTTTGGAGTATTGCACTGTAAATGACACACTGGGAATCCAAACACAGAACTGAGCATTAGAGTCGCCATGTTCCCTAATTCCCGAACAGGTTTATTTCCAGTGCAAAAATGAGTTGTTTTGTGAACAGCAAAGCCAACAAAATTCAGCATCCAACAGACTTCTGTCCTTAGGACTGCTGTGTGCCACCACAGAATCCTCATGTGTCTCTGCTGCCTCCGTCGGCCGACCAGCTCTGGTGGGGAAGTACCTGCACCTTCAGACACAGCTAGAGCTGGACGTGCTGTTCGGCCAGCTGCCTCCTGCTAGAAGGAACAGACAGCTTAGTTTTCCATTACTCCCTGATGTCCTTAAGGAATTTTCTCTTTTCTACCCAACATTATCTATAGAAATTATATCTCTGAAACTTGTGTCTTTTGATCAAAATTGTTTGAAGCTGCTCAAGGGGTATGAGGCCAGTGGGAATAGGACTGGTGGAAACTGAACAAGACAGAGGAAAAGACAGACGGACAGCAAGAGTACATAAACATTTCATTAGAAAACCAGGCTAAAAGTGCATCTGTTTCACAAACAGTTTAATGTTTTCTTCTTCTGTTAGATGTATAGTGCCTGTTATTCTGTCTTAACATGAGGAAGTTGATGAACTTTTCGCTGCTCTTCTGGATGAGCTGGCATGGCGCTAGTCTCATGTTTCAGGATCATTGCTCTAGTGGTAGAAGTGACAGTAAACTATTTTCTTGCTCTTCTTTTTACCTGCTGTTTCAACATCTTTCTTTAAAGAGAAATCATGGCCATTTGAACTTTCCCAAAGCTGTTGTAGAGTTTTCTAAGTGAAGTATGGATTGAATTGATAGGAATTACTGTCTAATCTAACCCAAACCATTCTATGTTTCTATTAATTTCTTTTTGCTCTACTGATAATGTGCGAAATATTTCTATACAGGTAGAAGAAGGCTGGTGGAGTGGAACGCTGAATGGCAAGCTGGGGTTGTTTCCTTCAAACTTCGTGAAAGAATTGGAATTGACAGATGATGGAGAAACACAGGACCCTCTGGATGACACAGGTGGTATTCTGTTTGTTGTAAACCCTTAGCCAAATCATTTTAGATCTCTGGTATAACTTGGAGTACTATGGTTGTAGTTGTATAAAAAAAATTGTAAAGAATTCAAACTTCCTAAGAACGATAAGTATTTAATTTCATTCTAGAAAATATTGATGTTGAGTGCGAAGATACTTGTCTTGCTCCCAATGCACTTCTAATAAAATTGCAGTCAAGGTCTTGATCTTGCAAATGTATATTCTGCATTTTATCACTAGAAATTTTATCATATTCAGAGTTGAGCTTTCTTTTAGTATTGGATTTAAAATGACTCTTCTGCTTAATAGCCTTTCTGAGTCTTATTCTCATAGACATGAGGTCTCGAATATGGAAAACTTAAGCCTTTAACCATGGCAGTTGAGAATTAAAACTTGAATTGAATCAAAACAGTATAGAGAGCCTCAACTTCAGCTGAATCCTGGGAAGGGGACTCTGGTTCTTCGTTATGTTTTAATCTAACAATAAAATGTTTTTAAGGCAGTATTTACCTTTAGTCACTTCTTTGTGGCTGTGACTGTATAGCTGAGGCAGAAGCAGGCGGGCTGTGGCTGAGTGGCGCCAGGCAGGTGTATGCCTCACCGCAGGTACTTTGTTCCCTTGAAATGCACTTCAGAGGGGTTCTGTCTAAGACCTGTTTGAAGGCTGAGGACTTGTGATATCATACTACTGGAATGGGAGCGCTCTTTGGGAACTACGTCTTGTCACAAGTTAATCGATGCTTAAAGACGGCTGTGTAATGTTCAAGGGAAAAAGTGGTGGGTTGTTTTTTCTTGTAGTAATGTGCACCCTTGCTTACAAGATGTTCAGTATTGATTGCTTATAACAAGGGTTTGCTCAGGGATAGGAAAGAAAAGTCTGGCTTGGATTTTTTTGGTAAATTGTGGCAATAATTGCAGTAGCATAAAACAAGAGCTGTGTGATGTGAGCAGTCCCAAATAGCTCAGTGGCTGTCATCTTGGAGGTCAAGTTCCCTGAGTTTTGTGGGGTCCAGTGAGATGAATTTACAAATGGGTATGTGTTGGTCTTAATTCCTGAATACTGAGGTCAGCGGGACTGAACAGGAATTTTAAGTATCTGTATTTTCTGTCAGTAACAAACAAGTTACTATTTTCAGCCCTTGTACCCCCAGGGGTTGTATTTGATGCTCAGTACTTTCACAGTCAGGATCTCAAGTATCTGCTAGTTCTTTCCTTACTCCTGGGAAATGATAAATGCCCCATTCACTGAGCTGTGGTCTTCAAACATGCAACCTGGACCTTTCTAATCAACGAAATGTGTAGTTATATCCCTTTTAGATATCTTAGAGGGATATAACTAAGTGAGGAGTAACTTGGTTGAGAAAAGGTGAGAAACTGAGGTCAAGAGCTATGTATTATGAAAACCCCTTAAATTTATGGTAGAGGGAAGAGGCTTTAATCTTTATTGCGATTCCCAGGCATGCATATGCTGAAAAGAACTTGACTGAAAGAGTAAAAGATGTGGAGGCTATTCTGAATTTGGTTTATAAAAGCTGTCTATTTTCTGTCTCCTGGAATTCTGCATGTGGAAGTAGTTTGCCCATGAATACTAGTTTGTAGGTTGTAGCAGATTTGACTGTAACTTAAAAATTTAAAATAAATAAATAAAGATGGAAAAATCTTAGAAGCTCCTAACGTCTGAATTAAGTTCTTCTCTGAACTACGTTTTTTGGAGGTGGATAAATGTTGTCCCTTAACACGGAAAGATTAAAAGACTTATAATACCTGTGTTATCTACCAGTGATGAATCTCAAACTGTATCTAATTTGAATGCTTAACTCATTTGAAATAGGTTTTGAGTGTTACCAGGTTAAAAAGTAGTTTAAATAAATTTGCAAGAGGCTCTTTTCAGGTATTTTTGATAGTGCATTTTGAGCAATAGGAAAAGTTCACTTTACCTTGAGAGGCATCACTCTACTACTGAAACACATCGTTTTTTCCTGTGGCTGTTGAAACGTGGTAGGACTCATTATGGACCTTTATTGATGATCGCTTTCAGCAGCTATAGCTGTGCAAATGACAAGCTTTTAAATGTTGGACTAAACCCATGTCTTCAGAGAGCGCGTAAGCAATGTTTCATAAAACTAATGGAAAACATTGGCGTTAACAGACTGTGGAGCCTGAGTGATAATTGAAATAGCAAGAAATTTAGTGATCTAATGACTTAGTTGCCAGAATATTCAGTGCTATACTGGTGTTATTTCAAATGGCCTTACGACAAATATGCAACTAGAAGAAATGCGAGATACTACAGCTACAATAATGTTCATAGAAAAACTGTTTAGCAAGAGCAATGCACACAGCTGTGTTACTTCCACTTTTTTTCTCAGAAGAGCAAATAAATAATTTCAGATATTAAAACAACGTTTTCTTCCTTGTTTTACTTTCAGAGTCTGTTTTCAGTGGTCCTACCTCACCTGTGGCTTCTCCAGGAAATGGGAGCGAACCTGGATCTGGACCAGCACAGCCAAAGAAAATCCGAGGTATTGGATTTGGAGATATTTTTAAAGAAGGCTCAGTGAAACTTAAGACAAGATTATCCAGTAATGAATCGGAAGATAAAAAGCAAGATAAGGTCTGTAGCAGTTCATACTGTTATTTTTTGTTTTCTTGTAAAAATAACGTAAAATGTGTGGAATCTGAAGTTGTAGTATCTTACAGATGCTGAATACACTGGCCATTTTAAAATTTGTCAATGTTGTTCCATAATCAGACCATAATCATCTCATCAGGCTCTTGCCTATAAAATGAAACAACCCTCCTCAAACTTCTTTTGTAGTAGGTTATATTTAACATTGATTGCAAAAGGTCTAGTCAAGTCTTGGTATTTAAGACATTAGAGAGGGAAAACAAAGCTGATATAAAAATTGTTGTTTCAAAACCATGCCGTATAAGACACAATGACTTCTTGAATACATCTACAGTACAAGGTCTCTCATTGTTCTCTTTGTAGCAGTCTTTGTATCTAGCCTGGGACAAGACTGTTAAGCCTTCCTATACAGCTTGGCCTTTAAAACAAGGAATATTTTGGAGTTTCCTTAGGTTTTGGTTTTGGTTTTTTTCCCATTTTTGGTGGATGTTGAGATTCTAGGTGTCAACCATCATTACCAGTGCAAATGTCCTTCAGTGAATGCTGCCAAGCTTTTGGCTTTGGTGTTGTCTTAGGTTAATGACTTATATAAACTGCTGATGGTGTAAACCAGAAAAATACTGTTCTACAAATTTTGCACCCTCTTTCATTTTTTTGCCCACATTTTTGTGAGTGGGAAAGGAGCACTTTTATTCTCTGTAATAAACTTAAAGCATAGGAGAGAGCAGAAAATGTGATGATAGTGGAGTTGCTTTAGTTTGAGTTTTATTTTGATCCAGTCCTGAGAGCGCTCTTTCCACTTGGAGGCACAACAGTGATGCTCAGTCCTTTGTCTTGAACTTATGATCATTTATACCAAGAGCTTATATATGGATTTTCAACTTTTGATAAATTAGAGGCAGCTGAGATAATCCAGTGTTTCAGTTTTTACTCAAGTAATCACTTCAAGAAAGTTTTTAAAACCTTTGTCCGGTTTCAATTTTTTGTCTGTGGGTTATGACCGTTAATGTTGTTTTGCTGCCTGATGTCCTTTCTTCTGCTGCCATGGAAATAGTTGCAATGGTGTAGGGCAAAAGGTGAGATGAGTCCCTGGGAATAGGGTAGGGACAGAGGCTTCCTTGAACGTGTTGTCCCTCAGTAGCAGTGCTAAGAGCAGTGCTTATCCACCTATAGACATGGTATGTGTCCTCTTTGTTTCTGGTCCAGTCAAAACACCAGATGATTCAGAAGATGAAAGTTACAGATGTGTTCCCTTTAAGGCTCAGGGAATGTTGTCTCCGAAGGAAGATGTTGTTCGGCTTGGAAGAGGGAAGGCTCTGGGGAGACGTTATTGCGTCCTTTCAGTGTATAGATGGAGAGAGACTTGCTACCGAGGTCTGTAGTGACAGGACAAGGGGCAAAGGTTTTAAACAGAGAGAGGGTAGATTTAGACTGGACATAAGGAAGACATGAGGTGAGGGAGGTGAGACGCTGGAGCAGGTTGCCTAGAGAAGTTGTGGCTGCCCTGTAGTTGAAAGTGTTCAAGGTCAGGTTGGACGGGGCTTTGAGCAACCTAGTCTTAGTGAAGGATGACCCTGCCCATGGCAGCACTTTATCCTTTGCAGTAGGAATCTGTGGGATCACTACATCTTTGTGTGAGTGCTGTTACACTAAGGTTTCAGGGGCTAGATTTAATTTGCTTTCTTGTCATGAGATTGATCGTTCAAAGGCACGTTTCCCTGCTTTCTGCCTTGTAACTTGGGAGTGTAAAGAGCCTATCTAAAATATGTTAAATTAATATGAAATCTGCTCAGAGTCTTCGAATTGTGTTATTTGGCTGTGTATAAACACTAAAATATGTTGATGCTCTGTTTTGTTGGTTGGCTCGTCTGGGAAGTTGTAGGCAGTTTCTCAGGATGGGGGAAATGAAGTGAGAAAACAGTTTTGCATAGCTTAAAGACAGTGAAATAAACAGTTGAGTTTATATTCCACTTACGCTAGTTGCCAAAGTTGTCCCGACTTACAGACAGCATGGAAAGCCCTATAGGGATAATTCTCAGGAAGGTCTTGTGAAAATGGATGGCTTCTTTGGATTTGTGCCCAATTCCCTTTGGAGTTAGATGGAGGGGTGCTGAAAGGGCATTCTCGGTCTTGAAGCCAGTAAGGACCAAAGCTGGCATCGGGAAACTCTAGAGTAGAGAGGGCTTTTTTCCCTTGGGAAGTTTGGAGACTGTTCCACGCAGGAAGGCTGAGTGCTGATGTATCTGAAGTGCTCAAGAGTATATATGCTCCTGCAGGAGATAGTTTCAGCTGGTTCCAGCATCCTGCTTGGGCTCAGGCTATTTTATGCCCTACCTACCTAAACTTCCTCTCGTACTTCTAATTGCATCTTGTTTTGGAAGGGGGAAATGTAGAGAACTATTTCCATGTTGGACTTGTTTAATCTCAGAGGTGGGTTTATTTTAGTGCTTCCTTCATATAGCATTCTGGAGCGAGTTAAATTGCATATGTACTCCCAAGAACATCCCAAGTGACTGTGGTTTCCTTTATGGTATGTCAGAGGTACCAAACACCAGCCCACAGGCATCGTCTGGTTTTAAGGAGAGTAAATCTAGTTTCTTTGACAGTAGAAAGTCTGCAAAGTTCTACTGTAAGTGAAAATGAACAGAGTAACTAAAGGCAATGGGATTTTTCACATCAGTAACGCTATTAGGGCTGCCTTGGTAAGTACTGACTGTAAGATCATATTCTGTGTTTGTAGCTCATAGGGCTGTGAAGAAGTATGTGCAGCTGAAGCTGTCTCAGTCTTCCAGGCAGCTCAATAAGTCTCCTGGGCGGGGCAGGGAATATATGTGTGAGTGCATATATATATATATATGTATGTATGTGAACAATTATTTTGGTTAGATATTAACTCTGAAACTTGTTACTGGTTGCAATGCCTTTGTGGTTCTTTGGTTCAGGAGAAATCTCTAGTGACACTTACTTATTCTCTTCCATACGAATCACTAAGAGTGAAGGGAAGCTGGGACAGGTTTTCATGTGCTCTTGCATTCTTCAGCAGAGGTGGTGTATGGCTACTGAATATTCCTGGTTTATTTGAGTGCAAAGTAAACGTGGTCAGTGAGTTACTTTCAGCAGAGCTGTTAAGTAACTGCTGCTCTTCTGCGCTGGAGGAGGCAATTTTCAGGATAATGGAAGAGTAACACTTGGAAGTACTGAAATAATGATTGCAAATGGCAATGTCCTGAGATTGGCTTCCAGTTTGAATGCCGTGCTCTGTCTTTAATCAGTAGACAAAATGATAATTGCTGTGCCTGTACTGAAGTAACTACAGTAAGTTAAGTACTTAATAGGAAAGCTCATTGAATCTCTTGGAGATGGTCATTTGCATCATCTCAGCTAATGAAAACCTGAGTGTGTTCTGTGGCCTAATCAGAAATAAAACTTGTAAAGAATTTTTGTTAACGACGGTCTCTCTTGCTCTTCTAGCCATTACCTAACCATCCCCCTGGAACAAAGCTAGTTCATTTTCCCAGTACAACAAAACCTGAAAACTCATCAGAAGTAGTAAAATCAGAAGCTGAAAGTAAACCAAAAGGTAAGGTTCATGAACATTTACATCTATTAGTTGGTAGTCCTCTCTAGAGAAGTATTTTGTTGTCAGCTTTTTTTGTGTTTAATTAGTGTATACTGGGGTTTTGTGTAAAGTTCTGTACCTTTGAGGATTTATGCAAATGCAGAAGTGTCTAAAGGAATTTCTGCTTGCATTTCTGTGGTAAATGAATAAAAACCATTTGTGCTGTTGTCTCCCAGAACAAAATAAGGCTGGGGTATGAAGTTTTATTGCAGCAGTATTGCTATGCTCAAACTGACTCCCTTTCTGCCTGGCTTTTAGTGTTCAGATGGGATGCTGGAAATCTATTGTTCTGGAACAGCCCCCTAACTCAATTTGTATCCATAAATTATAGAAATTACTTTCTAGACTCCAGATTTACTGTGGAGTTGCTAGTGTGCTGTTGTAACTATATATGAATCTTCCTGCATCAGAAAGTTGGTACTTATGTTTTGTTGAAGTCTGTTCCCTACATAATACATTTCCATTGTGGTTCTGTTTATAATAAACTTCTTTTTTATTTTTCTTTTCTATTATCTCTAAGAATTTATTACTTCATTTAACTACTAAATTGCGTAGTTACATCTAGAGATATTTTTAAGCCAACCCAAAACATCTTGTAGGAATGCCAACCCCATATAAAAAATTAACTTCAATTATGTGATGTGTGGACAGCTCATTTCACCGGATTCCAGAGCAGATGTTTTTTCAACTTCTGTATTGTAATTTCAAGTATATTTTTGTTTTATATGGAAATACCTTATTTTGATGTGTGTTGTTTTATATGGAGTGCTTAATCTGCAAAAATAAGAAAACTGCAGCAAACAATTGACTTTTTGCCTGTGTTCAGGAGTTGTGTAATCTGGCACAACAGGGCACTTGAGATGGCAGGTTTGTTAGTCAGAGCCCTAG